GCGTGCGTGTGCGTGTGCGTGTGCGTGTGCGTGTGCGTGCGCGTGTGCGTGTGCGTGTGCGTGTGCGTGTGCGTGTGCGTGTGCGTGCGTGTGCGTGTTGCGTGTGCGTGTGCGTGCGCTTGTGCGTGCGCGTGCGCGTGCGCGTGCGTGTGCTCGTGCGTGCGTGCGTGCGTGCGTGCGGCGTGCGTGCGTGCGTGCGTGCGCGTGCGTCGTGCGTGCGCGCGTGCGTGCGTGCGTGCGTGCGTGCGAGCTGCGTGCGTGCGTGCGTGCGTGCGCGCGCTGCGTGCGTGCGTGCGTGCGTGCGTGCGTGCGTGCGTGCGTGCGCGTGCGTGCGTGCGTGCGTGCGTGCGTGCGTGCGTGCGTGCGTGCGTGCGTGCGGCCGCGTGCGTGCGTGCGTGCGTGCGTGCGTGCGTGCGTGCGAGTGCGTGCGTGCGTGCGTGCGTGCGTGCGTGCGTGCGTGCGTGCGTGCGTGCGTGCGTGCGTGCGTGCGTGCGAGCGAGCGAGCGAGCGTGCGTGCGTGCGTGCGTGCGTGCGGGCGGGCAGGCGTTCATGCGTGCGTGCGTGCGTGCGTGCGTCGTGCGTGCGTGCGTGCGTGCGTGCGTGCGTGCGTGCGTGCGTGCGTGCGTGCGTGCGTGCGCGCGGGCGCGCGCGGGCGCGGGCGTGCGTGCGTGCGTGCGTGCGTGCGTGCGTGCGTGCGTGCGTGCGTGCGTGCGTGCGTGCGTGCATGCGTGCGTGCGTGCGTGCGTGCGTGCGTGCGTGCTGCGTGCGTGCGTGCGTGCGTGCGTGCGTGCGTGCGTGCGTGCGTGCGTGCGTGGCGTGCGTGCGTGCGTGCGTGCGTGCGTGCGTGCGTGCGTGCGTGCGTGCGTGCGTGCGTGCGTGTGTGTGTGTGTGTGTGTGTGTGTGTAGGTAAACCTTTCATAACTTTTGAACGTCTTGATCGATTGAGATGCAGTGTGCTGTGTTCTAAAGATCCCAATGTGGAATAGATTTGGTGATAATATGAATTCTCTTCTCTTCTTCTTTCGGACGATTAAATTTTGAGAATTCGAAAAAATAAAAATTTTGATAAACTGTTTTTTTGGTATAACTTTTAGGCTTTACCTAACGATTTCAAAAAAGTAATCAGCTCTCTTTGGAAATTAAAAATCGGTTCATTCGTTCGTGAGATATCGAAGGAGAAAGAATTCGAAAAAAACGTTTTTTTTAACATAACTTCGAGATTTCGCAACATATTTTGGTGAAATTCGGAGCGCTTTGTATTTGTAATTAGCGGAAAGTTCCTGGGATGGCCTGCAGGATCAACCATTTTTTTTTAATGAACCTACTTAATAAAGAATTAAAATCTTAAACTGAAAGAGAAAGGATCATAGAAACTGGTCCTGTACAACATAATAATAATAATAATAATTAATAATATTTGATGATGCCGAACTCGAACGACTACGACGTGAGGCTATTCCGTCGTCGAATGAATCGACTATGGCTGGAGATGCAGCTCCACATTCGACAGACCAGCATCCACACGTGGAAGCCGCCATGGATCTTCCAGTTGTGGTTGATTCGAACGACGATGAAATAGTCTCCCACGAACTAGAGCAAATGAGGAGTATATTGGAAGAGGCGATTTTGGAAACGCGCAGCACCCCTCTCGAAAATCGACCACGACTTCCCCCGCATACCCTTAAGCAAGCGAAATCGGGCTGTCGTGAGGGCTCTTAACCCAATACTGGTGACCTATTTGGAAGCCAGCCGGGACCTTTTGCGAGACGGACTCGATTCTCTTTGGCGCCGCAGTGGCAGTTTGCCGTATTATTGGCGCCAAACTTCCCATGGCTGGACGCGCTACTACACAAAGTAACGCCATCCCAGCCTGGAGGAAAAGAATCGAGGACCGTATCGCAAAGGCAAGGGCCCTTATCGGCAGACTGACAAGCTTCAGGTCGGGTAATAATAGACCGAGGATTATGCGCACCGTTAGGATGGCGTTTGCTGGGACAAATATCAGTTTGTCCCAGCCGGATATCACGCAGAAACTAACGGAGCGCATAGACGACCTGAAGCAAAAGATCGCTGCTTGGGGGAAGCGGATTCGACGATTTTCCGAGGGGTCAAGGCGGTTCAACCAGAATCGTCTCTTCCAGAGTGATCAGAAGAGGCTCTATAAATTATTGGAGCGACCAAAGGTATGTGTAGCGGGCCAAGGACCGGATCAGGCTGACATTATCGCATTCTGGCGTGGCCTGTGGTCAGAGCCCGTAAACCACAGTGAGGGCCCTTGGATGGAAGTTGTGGCGAGCCAGGGTGCGAGTGTTACGCCTATGGACCCCATCACCATAACGCCAGAAGACGTGGCTGAGGCGGTCCGTAGGGCCCCGAACTGGAAAAGTCCGGGGCTCGACGGGCTGCATCATTACTGGCTGAAGGGGTTCGTAGTGTGTCACGCTGTGCTCGCCCGACAGTTTCAAGAGGCTCTCGACCAGAAGTCACTCCCGAGCCTCTTCACTACTGGGATCACTCACTTGGTTCCTAAAGATCAGGATACCACAGACCCGAGCAAATACCGCCCCATCACGTGTCTACCCACCATATATAAGACACTGACATCCATTTTGAGCGCGAGAATCACTCGTCACCTGGAGCTAAACCAGGTGATGTCACGCGCTCAAAATGGATGTCGGGGCGGTGGTCGTGGAACCAAGGAACCACTCCTCATTGACGCGGTCGTAGGCAAAGTGGTGAAACGCAACCGTCGGAACTTCTCCGCCGCCTGGATAGACTACAGAAAGGCGTTCGACTCGGTGCTCCATACATGGCTAAAGAGGGTCCTCGAGCTGTACAAGATTGACTGTACAGTTAGAGACTTCCTCGAGCAGTGTATGGGGCAGTGGAGTACGATCCTTTGTCATCTGGGCGAGCGGATGACGGCTGCGGAGAACCACATAAGGATAAGAAGGGGTATCTTCCAGGGCGATTATCTGAGTCCAATCTGGTTCTGCCTCTCTCTGAACCCTCTCAGTACCTTACTGGAGGGCTCCGGGAGGGGATTTCAGCTACGGAAAGGAGGGACAAAAGTGACCCACCTTTTCTATTTGGATGACCTCAAGTTTTTCGCCTCCAGTCGCTCCCATCTTAAGGAACTGCTAAACATCACTTGTGAATTTAGCAATTCCATTGGAATGGAGCTGGGGACGGATAAGTGTGCGGTCCTCCATGTTGAAAGGGGAAGGGTTGCTAACTCTGAGGGCATAGACTTGTCTATGCCCGTCAACTTAAGGACCCTTTCCGAGGCTGAAACATACCGATACCTGGGTATGTCACAGAACATCGATATCGATGAGGCTGGTATGAAACAGTCAGTTTGCGACGTGTTTTATGCACGCTTGACCAAAGTGCTTAACAGCCTTTTGTCCGGTGTGAATAAGACACACGCATATAACGGCTGGGTCATGCCTGTCCTCATGTATACCTTTGGCATACTCAGGTGGACTGAGATAACTTAACGCCCTGGATAGAAAAGTCCGCACTACCATGACGTCCCATAGGATGCATCATCCGAGATCGTCGGTAATGAGGCTGTACTTGCCGCGAAAGCATGGTGGGCGTGGCTTTCTGAGCGCGCTCACCATGCATAATCGCGAAGTGTGCAGCCTCCGTGAGTACTTCCTGGCGAGATCGGATGATCCATTCTATAATGACGTCATTTCTAGTGATAAAGGGCTTACCCCTCTATCCTTAGCCAACGAGCAATGGCAGGACCCAGCAGGTGCTTAGCATTTCCGACCGGGAGACCATATGGAAGGAGAAGGAGCTCCACGGGAGGTACTACAGGGCTCTACATGAGCCCTACGTAGATACAATCGCCTACCTCAACTGGCTACGTTTCGGTGACCTCTTCGGGGGAAACCGAGGGTTTTGTCTGTGCAATACAGGATCAGGTTATTAAGACCAACAACTATCGGAGATACATCCTAAAGGATGGCACCGTCGACGTCTGTTGAGCTTGTTGCCATCCCGTGGAGTCACTTAGGCGTGCCATCTCCGGTTGTTCGGCGCTTTCTAACTCTGAGTACTTGCACAGGCACAACCTAGTAGCCAGAATTCTACACCAGGAGCTCGCTCTGAAATACGGTCTCGTGGACCGGAAATTGCCGTATTACAAGTACTTGCCGGAAGCCGTGCTCGAAAATGACCGCGCCAGACTCTACTGTGACCGGGCCATCATCACAGACAGGACTATTCTTGCGAATAAGCCTGATATTGTGCTGATGGACCGGGCACAGTCAAGGATATTTTTGGTCGATATTACCATCCCGTATGACGAGAACCTCGTGAGAGCCGAAACAGATAAGCAATCAAAATATCTGGACCTGGCTCACGAGGTGACGGACATGTGGGGTGGTCTGCCGGCCGAAATTATTCCTGTAGTCGTCTCTGCGAATGGGCTAATCCCAGTTAGCCTCTCTGGTCATCTGAGGCGACTGGGACTCCGTGACGGACCGCTCCGGGCTCAAATGCAGAAGGCGGTGCTCCTTGATACTGCCCGCATCGTCCGCCGGTTTCTTTCCCTTTCTCCCTAACCCTTGGCCGTTTGGTCTCCCCTGCCGAGGGCTTCCATCTGGTTGGGCTTTTATTTATTTATGTATTTTTGTATTTATTTTATTTTATTGATATTTATGTATATTTATCTTTTCATTTTCATTTATAATTATATATTTATACATCCCAACCAGATGAGAAAACTATATAGATACCCCACATAATAATAATAATAATAATAAAAATATAAGGCGTAGGGAAGTGACGACCCCATCGCCCGCTGACGTAACAGTTATGTGACAAAACTGCGACGTCGGCGCAGTCAGTCAGCATCCTGCCAAGAGGTGTGAGCGCCGTGCCTAGGCAAAATTGTAGATGCAAAGGTCCGTTTGTGCATATGACCCAACCACGAAACGGTGCCGGGCTTGGGCGTCTCCCGTTATTTGGCGCCCATAAAATGGATGATGGAAGAAACACAAAAAGGAACGCGCATAGGGCCGCTGCCTGGGGGTCGCCGGGGCGCGTCTGGAGCTGGCGCTGGACGCGGCAGCATGCGGGCCGCCAGCCGAGCGCGAGGAGCTGCACGATCACCTAGCAGCCCCTCGCATCCATCATCCCCACCAGAAGGCTTGGTGTCGGCTGGGTCTTCTCGGACCCAGCAAGCGGCACCCGCCGCTGGTGGAGCACGTCGCATGCGTTGGACAAAATCCATGAACGAAAACGCATTGCGGGCGTACTATAGGGCGAAAGGGGAAGAAACTGTGGGAATAGCGTATAGGTCTCGGATGCATTGCTTTTTTGCTGAGCTGGAGCCGTCTATCCCCGTCACGGAACAAAACCTGGCAGACCGAGTTCGGTACATCATGCGCTCGAAAATATTTGATGATGCCGAACTCGAACGACTACGACGTGAGGCTATTCCGTCGTCGAATGAATCGGCTATGGCTGGAGATGCAGCTCCACATTCGACAGACCAGCATCCACACGTGGAAGCCGCCATGGATCTTCCAGTTGTGGTTGATTCGAACGACGATGAAATAGTCTCCCACGAACTAGAGCAAATGAGGAGTATATTGGAAGAGGCGATTTTGAAAACGCGCAGCACCCCTCTCGAAAATCGACCGCGACTTCCCCCGCATACCCTTAAGCAAGCGAAATCGGGCTGTCGTGAGGGCTCTTAACCCAATGCTGGTGACCTATTTGGAAGCCAGCCGGGACCTTTGCGAGACGGACTCGATTCTCTTTGGCGCCGCAGTGGCAGTTTGCCGTATTATTGGCGCCAAACTTCCCATGGCTGGACGCGCTACTACACAAAGTAACGCCATCCCAGCCTGGAGGAAAAGAATCGAGGACCGTATCGCAAAGGCAAGGGCCCTTATCGGCAGACTGACAAGCTTCAGGTCGGGTAATAATAGACCGAGGATTATGCGCACCGTTAGGATGGCGTTTGCTGGGACAAATATCAGTTTGTCCCAGCCGGATATCACGCAGAAACTAACGGAGCGCATAGACGACCTGAAGCAAAAGATCGCTGCTTGGGGGAAGCGGATTCGACGATTTTCCGAGGGGTCAAGGCGGTTCAACCAGAATCGTCTCTTCCAGAGTGATCAGAAGAGGCTCTATAAATTATTGGAGCGACCAAAGGTATGTGTAGCGGGCCAAGGACCGGATCAGGCTGACATTATCGCATTCTGGCGTGGCCTGTGGTCAGAGCCCGTAAACCACAGTGAGGGCCCTTGGATGGAAGTTGTGGCGAGCCAGGGTGCGAGTGTTACGCCTATGGACCCCATCACCATAACGCCAGAAGACGTGGCTGAGGCGGTCCGTAGGGCCCCGAACTGGAAAAGTCCGGGGCTCGACGGGCTGCATCATTACTGGCTGAAGGGGTTCGTAGTGTGTCACGCTGTGCTCGCCCGACAGTTTCAAGAGGCTCTCGACCAGAAGTCACTCCCGAGCCTCTTCACTACTGGGATCACTCACTTGGTTCCTAAAGATCAGGATACCACAGACCCGAGCAAATACCGCCCCATCACGTGTCTACCCACCATATATAAGACACTGACATCCATTTTGAGCGCGAGAATCACTCGTCACCTGGAGCTAAACCAGGTGATGTCACGCGCTCAAAATGGATGTCGGGGGCGGTGGTCGTGGAACTAAGGAACCACTCCTCATTGACGCGGTCATAGGCAAAGTGGTGAAACGCAACCGTCGGAACTTCTCTGCCGCCTGGATAGACTACAGAAAGGCGTTCGACTCGGTGCCCCATACATGGCTAAAGAGGGTCCTCGAGCTGTACAAGATTGACTGTACAGTTAGAGACTTCCTCGAGCAGTGTATGGGGCAGTGGAGTACGATCCTTTGTCATCTGGGCGAGCGGATGACGGCTGCGGAGAACCACATAAGGATAAGAAGGGGTATCTTCCAGGGCGATTGTCTGAGTCCAATCTGGTTCTGCCTCTCTCTTAACCCTCTCAGTACCTTACTGGAGGGCTCCGGGAGGGGATTTCAGCTACGGAGAGGAGGGACAAAAGTGACCCACCTTTTCTATATGGATGACCTCAAGTTATTCGCCTCCAGTCGCTCCCATCTTATGGAACTGCTAAACATCACTTGTGAATTTAGCAGTTCCATTGGAATGGAGCTGGGGACGGATAAGTGTGCGGTCCTCCATGTTGAAAGGGGAAGGGTTGCTAACTCTGAGGGCATAGACTTGTCTATGCCCGTCAACTTAAGGACCCTTTCCGAGGCTGAAACATACCGATACCTGGGTATGTCACAGAACATCGGTATCGATGAGGCTGGTATGAAACAGTCAGTTTGCGACGTGTTTTATGCACGCTTGACCAAAGTGCTTAACAGCCTTTTGTCCGGTGTGAATAAGACACACGCATATAACGGCTGGGTCATGCCTGTCCTCATGTATACCTTTGGCATACTCAGGTGGACTCAGACTGAGCTTAACGCCCTGGATAGAAAAGTCCGCACTACCATGACGTCCCATAGGATGCATCATCCGAGATCGTCGGTAATGAGGCTGTACTTGCCGCGAAAGTATGGTGGGCGTGGCTTTCTGAGCGCGCTCACCATGCATAATCGCGAAGTGTGCAGTCTCCGTCAGTACTTCTTGGCGAGATCGGATGATCCATTCTATAATGACGTCATTTCTAGTGATAAAGGGCTTACCCCTCTATCCTTAGCCAACGAGCAATGGCAGGACCCAGCAGTGCTTAGCATTTCCGACCGGGAGACCGTATGGAAGGAGAAGGAGCTCCACGGGAGGTACTACAAGGCTCTACATGAGCCCTTCGTAGATACAGTCGCCTCCCTCAACTGGCTACGTTTCGGTGACCTCTTCGGGGGAAACCGAGGGTTTTGTCTGTGCAATACAGGATCAGGTTATTAAGACCAACAACTATCGGAGATACATCCTAAAGGATGGCACCGTCGACGTCTGTCGAGCTTGTCGCCATCCCGGGGAGTCACTTAGGCATGTCATCTCCGGTTGTTCGGCGCTTTCTAACTCTGAGTACTTGCACAGGCACAACCTAGTAGCCAGAATTCTACACCAGGAGCTCGCGCTGAAATACGGTCTCGTGGACCGGAAATTGCCGTATTACAAGTACTTGCCGGAAGCCGTGCTCGAAAATGACCGCGCCAGACTCTACTGGGACCGGGCCATCATCACAGACAGGACTATTCTTGCGAATAAGCCTGATATTGTGCTGATGGACCGGGCACAGTCAAGGATATTTTTGGTCGACATTACCATCCCGTATGACGAGAACCTCGTGAGAGCCGAAACAGATAAGCAATCAAAATATCTGGACCTGGCTCACGAGGTGACGGACATGTGGGGTGGTCTGCCGGCCGAAATTATTCCTGTAGTCGTCTCTGCGAATGGGCTAATCCCAGTCAGCCTCTCTGGTCATCTGAGGCGACTGGAACTCCGTGACGGACCGCTCCGGGCTCAAATGTTCTGCAGGCGGTGCTCCTTGATACCGCCCGCATCGTCCGCCGGTTTCTTTCCCTTTCTTCCTAACCCTCGGCCGTTTGGTCTCCCCTGCCGAGGGCTTCCATCTGGTTGGGCTTTTATTTATTTATGTATTTTTGTATTTATTTTATTTTATTCATATTTATGTATGTTTATCCTTTCATTTTCGTTTATAATTATATATTTATACATCCCAACCAGATGAGAAAACTATATAGATACCCCACACATAATAATAAAGCAATAATAATAATAATAATAAAGCATGGTGGGCGTGGCTTCTTGAGCGCGCTCACCATGCATAATCGCGAAGTGTGCAGCCTCCGTAATTACTTCCTGGCGAGATCGGATGATCCATTCTATAAGGACGTCATTTCTAGTGATAAAGGACTTACCCCTCTATCCTTAGCCAACGAGCAATGGCAAGACCCAGCAGTGCAGACAATTTCCGACCGGGAGAACGTATGGAAGGAGAAGGAGCTCCACGGGAGGTTCTACAAGGCTCTACACGAGCCTTTCGTAGACAGAGTAGCCTCCCTCCACTGGCTACGCTTTGGCGATCTCTTCGGAGAAACCGAGGGTTTTGTCTGTGCAATACGTCCTGTATTACAGGTTATTAAGACCAACAACTATCTGAGATACATCCTAAAGGATGACACCATCGATATTTGTCGAGCTTGTCGCCATCCCGGTGAGTCACTTAGGCATGTCATCTCCGGTTGTTCGGCGCTTTCTAACTATGAGTACTTGCACAGGCACAACCTAGTAGCCAGAATTCTTCACCAGGAGCTCGCTCTGAAATACGGTCTCGTGGATCGGAAATTGCCGTATTACAAGTACTTGCCGGAAGCCGTGCTCGAAAATGATCGCGCCAGGCTCTATTGGGACCGGGCCATCATCACAGACAGGACTATTCTTGCGAATAAGCCTGATATTGTGCTGATGGACCGGGCACAGTCAAGGATATTTTTGGTCGACATTACCATTCCGTATGACGAGAACCTCGTGAAAGCCGAAACAGACAAGCAAACAAAATATCTGGACCTGGCTCACGAGGTGACTGACATGTGGGGTGGTCTGCCGACCGAAATTATTCCTGTAGTCGTCTCTGCAAACGGGCTAATCCCAGTCAGCCTCTCGGGTCATCTGAGGCGACTGGGACTATGTGGCGGACCGCTCCGGGCTCAAATGCAGAAGGCGGTGCTCCTCGATACCGCCCGCATCGTCCGCCGGTTTCTTTCCCTTTCCCCCTAACCCTCGGCCGTTTGGTCACCCCTGCCGACGGCCTCCATCTGGTTGGGCTTTTATTTATTTATGTATTTTTATATTTATTTTATGTTATTGATATATATGTATATTTATCTTTTCATTTTCATTTATAATTATATATTTATAGAACCCAACCAGATGAGAAAACTATATAGATACCCCACAATAATAATAATCAGATAACCAAATTTTTCTAAAGTCGGTTAAAAAGACATGGGTTTTCATTCGACATTGATTATACAATACAAAGAAGCCAATATTTACAAACATCAAAATGAAGCCAACTCTGATACTTGCCATCTAATCCGATGTCAATATTTATTTCTACAAAAACAAAAATTAATTAAATCTAAATGTTAATTAAAACCATCTAAACCCTGTGAGTGAAGCTTAATCAAGTGATTTTTCTAAAATTCTAAGCGAATTACTTTTTCATCAAGCACTATTGTTTTCAGAACATACTATTTACTGTTTTTATGGTATTCCATTTACCTTATTCGTTCACTTAGAAAAAACTCTCGGCATAAAGAACCTATTTAGAAGCTAATCCGATTAATTGATAACGTTCTGTCTTTATATAAGATGTAAATTCAAAAGTAAGAAAGATATAATATTTATTTATTGAAACAAGCAATCGAAAAGCCGAGATTAGTGATCAGCTTAACTTAGTCTTAAGCTTTAGCTTAGCTTAGTCTTTTCAATTGTATTCTAAGAGTAAGATTGCCAGTCGAAAATTAATTTATGTTTAAAAATGAATTAAGTTTCTTGCTATTTTTCTTGTTTCCGTCACTATCATATGTTTAAATACAATATTATATATTTTTTTGAGATTATTGAATAATTTGACACATCGGGCCATAGAGCAATACGGGCCACAGGCGGAACAGAGGGGAGTAGCAGAGTCGTTTTATCTCGATA